CCTTCACACAGAAATCTCTGGCACTGAAGAGCCCACCCTCAGTGGGAACTGAGATTGCTCCCCAGAGACCTGGGCTTGCCATGCCCTGCTGACCACATGCTGTATTTGCAGTGCAGGAGCTGCCGCTAACACGTGGCTGGAGTCTTGCAAGTGTCCACTGTGGCTAAAGTCCAGTTCCTGGTGTGGTGGGTAGGGGTGGTGTGGACACACAGGAAGGCCTTTGGTCATTGTTGGGCAGACAGTGGGGGGAACCCCTGCAAACCTCTGTGTCTCTGCACTCTCCTTGAAGTGAAATCGTGTTCCTGCACCCCAGGTATGACGAGCTTCCTCTTGCTGCCAATACCACATGCCAAACCGGTGGCTCCCCCGAATCTCATACTCTGAGCCTGCGAAGCTGCAAGCCAGGTGAGCCTCTCCCTCACACAGAAAGCCTGAATTGCACTCTATGGCGGTGAGTCAGACCTGACACCCACACTGATTATTCTGCACATAGTGGTGCATGCCTCTCCCACTTACTCCGGAGGCTGAGGCAGGAAGAGTGACTTCTAGGCCAGCCTGGGCAACTTAGTGAGACCCTGTAAAAAATAGTTAAAATGATAAGAGTTGTAGCTCATGATAAGACTGGCCCTGTGTTTTTTCCTCAGAACAACCAATAAAGGATCCAAAGCAAACTACTGATCATGTTTGTTACCACTGAAGCAATAATACTGAAAGTGTGCACAAATAAAAATTTAAAATATAACCAGTGAAAGCACTGACTAGCTCCTTTTTTGGTACTGTCATTTTCTGTTTATTTGCCATCTATTCATTTGATTCTAATGCATGATTTGTATTTTTTTCTGTTTTTTTTTAATCTTGATGTTTAAGTAATATCTCAAAAAATGTTTTCAATTAGATGTAGTTGATATTTTCTCTTAAAGAAACATTCGGCTTTTTGGTAACTAAGGATTATTTTATAATAAAAATACCATATTGGAGTCTAACTTTCCTGCTTTATTTTGTGCTTTTCATCACACCCTATTTTTTATCCATTCTATTTTAAATTTGTCTGTGGTATTATATGTAATCACACATTGTACTTTTACAGGGTATACTCAGGATCTTATTTTGTCTAATCTGGAAATTTTATACCACACAATGCAAACAAGACATAATGTGATGATAGTAATTTAAACTCCTCCTAGGAAATACAGGTTCAACATTACTGTCTTTCCGTTCTTGCAATAGTTTCTCACGATGACTTTTTGCATTTTGAAGTTTCATACACGGTTACAAGTGCAAGGCTCCATGCGGTTTCCTAATCTGAACACTTCTTTGCTTCGCAGCTTCAAGTTCCAGGGGCAGATTCCTGCTCACGCTCCTTTAGGTCCCCGTGACCATTCCAGCCCCTGCTTTCCCGGCTCAGCGCAGCACTATCCCAACATCAAGGAGCACCGATCACTTCCATCCCTTATGGTTTATATAAATGCAATTATGCAATGTCAACTCTATAATATTTGAGTTGTTCATCTCATACGCTTCTAAAGAACTGATCTGTTCTGTTGCATGTTTCCATGCATCATTTGTTAGAACATCTCCATGTCATTACAAGTGGTTTTGAATTTGATTACTAATGTCCCTATGTTGTCATTTTACAGTAGGCTTATTACAAATAGCACTGGTATGTAAAACCTAGAGCTCGTGTCTTTTAAACTCATGTACAAATTTCTGCTGGTCCTAGATGGAGGACTAGAATTGTTCATATGTCTCTAGCTTTAGTAGGCACTGTTTCCTAGAATATTTGTACTAGTATACTACTATATGCAGATACTAACAGGGTATGAGAGTCCTGTCATACCAACATCATTTTGTAGAGGCGATATTTTCTACTACATTCACTTTAGCTTTCCAGTTGCTATACAATGCTAAAAGCAGTGGTATTTTTTCTTTGGTTCCTGTTATTACTCTTACACTGTAACTGACTGTAAAGTATGCAGGAACCTCTTTTTTAGGAGCCTATTTTCTTCAGTTTGCACATATTTTCCTATTGTGTTATCTGTATATTTGTCAATAATTTGTAGTCATTTATAGGTACTGGAAACGAGTTCTCTGTCTTCTGATGAGGTGAATCTCTTAAAAGTCACAATTTTGTCATGTCGCACATCATAGCTAATTAACTTTTGTAGTGCTTAAATAATCTTTTCATACACTAAGAGCACAGACTTCAAAGTTTTGTTCAGCAATTAATTTATAATCCCCTTGCGGTGTGATGTGAACTGTGATTGGGAAATTTTTTTTCCTGTTGACAAATTCAAGCTTATTTAGAAAATGCTTTGTGCTCTGCTTTCTGTACTCATGTGTTTCACATATGTGGATCTAGCAAACACAGCCCAAAAATATTTTCTAAAAAGTATAGGAACTGACTATGTGCAGGTGGTTTTCTTTTTAGTATTTCAAAAAAAACTATACTATACCTTCTATTTACATAGCATTTACATTGCTGTAGGCATCATGAGTCATCTTGAGGCAATTTAAATTGTAGGACAGGATTCCAGAGTTTATATACAAGTATTACGGCATTTGTACATGAAAACAGTTGATCCACTGAGATCGCCTCCTGCTGCTATCAAACAGCTGCTCTCTCATGCTTTCCTTCCATTTTTGTCACTGCTTCACCCCTGCTAACACCAGGTCAGCCTTGGTGTGGAGCCCTCTCCTTCTTCTCTCCTCCTATTCCAGACTCTGTTGTCTCCAGTAATCCCACAGTACCACACAACCAACTGGAAATTTCACTATCCCAAATCACCAATGGGATGGTGATTCCTACATCCTCATACCAGAATGGCACCTAGGGCCTTGGCAATGGGAATGACTTTTCTGACTCAGACAGTCACTGGGATCCTAGCTAATGTTGTTCTTCTGTTCCACTATTTCTCTCTCTGCTTCACTGGATACAAGCTAAGGCCCACAGATCTAATAGCTGAGCACTTGACTATAGCAAACACAGTGATCATGTTGTCTAAGGGAGTCTCACAGACAGTGCAAGCCTTTGGGATAGAGTATTTCTCTCAAGCTATTCTATGTGACATCCTTTTGTATGTCTACAGAGTGGCCCGAGGTGTGTCAGTCAGTACAACCTGCCTCCTGAGTGTTTTCCAGACCGTGAAGATCAGCCCCATGAGCTCCAGCTGGAAGCAGCTTAAAGCTAACCTTCCCAAGCACATTGGCTTGTCTATTTTCCTTAGTTGGAGTCTCAATATGTTGGTAAATTGTATTTTTCCCTTTTATAGCATCAGCAAATATTGCAACAAAAATATCACAAAGATAAAAAATTTTGGATACTGTTCTGCAGTATTTCAAGACAAAATCACAGAAGCATTGTATACAGCATTCATATTATTCCCTGAAGTTTCATGTTCTGGGATCATGATCTGGTCCAGCGGCTCCATGATTTTCATTCTGCACAGGCACAGCACCAGGTCCAACACATCCGAAGGACAAATGTTTCCCACAAGTCATCCCCTGAGTCCAGGGCCACCCAAAGTGTCCTTGTCCTCGTGTGCAGCTTTGTGTGTTTTTACACCCTCTCCTCTTTCTTTTATGCTTGTGTTATGAATTTTGATATTCCTCATTGGTGGCTCATGAACACCTCTGCCCTGATTTCTACCTGCTTCCCCGCTGTCAGCCCTTTCGTTCTAATGAGCTGCAACTCCACTGCGTCCAGACTCTTGTTCAAATTCTCATGCTTAGTCAGAAGCAGGTAAAGTGCATCGTTTTGCAGAAAGGTGAGTGGTTGAGACACAGAGAGGCCCCCAGAGAGGGAGACAGAGAAACCGAAGGAGGCTCGGGTGCAGCCAGTAGTAGAGTTCCTGTCTAGGGTCTGAGACACCGAGTTTGCTACACAGGACAGAAACAAAATGGACAAAATAAATATCAGTTAGAATTTTAAAATGTAGGAAATTAAGGAGAAAGACATCAACCTCTAAGGTGAACTCTGGTGATTTTGGGGATTTCTCAAGCTGAACTCTCAGGTCAGTGTGGTAGACTGGGCTGATCCTTCTGCACAACATCCTATTGGAAACTGCCCTAGAATGGTTTGGAAAGCAAATAAAATGTGCTTGATAACAAACTCTGATTTGATGGGTCATAGTGATGAGTGGCTGATGGGAGACACATGGTTTTAGAAACACTTATGGAAGACAAAATAGTGCACAAGCAAGTGGTGAATACTCCTAGGAGGCCCCTTCTGTAGGTTGTCAGCTATCTGCCTGCTTTTTGGGTTGTGGTCCCGAGATTTAATGCACTAGGGCAGCTTCTTTTCATGGTTGTTTGTGTAGAATGAGCCTGTAAAGATAGAGACAAGTCCACTTACTGGTCCAGAAGGTAGATCTGTTTGTTGCACAGGCAAACTAAGATGTCTCATCTGTAGCAGTGTGGGACAAGTTGAGCAGAAAGTTCCTTAAAAGACTGGAGGCTCTTGTGTTTTGGTTCTTTACAGGTGACGTCAATTGGCTGAATGAGCAACATCCAGATAGACACAAAAATATACAGAGAGACATTTAGGGCCCCTACTGACCTACGTCAGACGCTAAAAGATGACTAACTGACTCTCCAAGGAGACAGACCAGGGTGCTCAGATGAAAATATACACTAAGGAAGCAAATTTACCTGTGACTTAATGGAGTGAGGTGTAAATCAGAGATCAGAGACAAGCAGGTGAAGGACAGTACAGAGGAAGGAAGACAGGCCCAGGTCCTGCACCAGTCCAGTGCCCAAAGGAGTCTCTGCATCTTACCCTTAAACTGTTTTATAGAAAGTTCATATGTCCACTGAAGCTTTTTTGTACAACTCAGTTCCTTTTTAGACACTGCAAGCTGTGGCTTCCTTTTCTGTCCATGCTTGTGTCACACAGAGCTGGATTTTGTGAAGAAGGTCGAGGCATGGGCTGACTTTACGGCTGTGCATGTGAACAGGACTTGCATAAGCTCATGGCTCTGTGCATTTCCAAGAGAAGCTGCCCAGTGTTGTAAGGTGTAAATCTCTTGTTGCAGACATATAAGTTGTAATTTCTGGTCTCACACTAAGTCCACATTCGCATGGAATATCTCATCTCACACTTTCACTTTCAGCCTCTGTAGGTCGTTTCAGATAAAATCTTATACGAAGCACAAAGCTATGTCTTGTGCTGTTTGACTTCTCTGGACTCAGCTGATATCTTTTGAGGGGAGGGTTAGATCATTTACATTTAAATAGAGAAGGACCTAGCATTGCTAATTTGTTTATTATTTCTCCGGGAGCGGCAGGGCTCCTGGGTCCGAGTTTGCGGTGGACGCAGACCACCATGATTCCCAGCTGAAACGCGCACACAGAGCCAGGTAGGCCCCTTCCAATCCCGGAGAGTGGGACACGAGAACAAAGACACCGCGAACATTACAGACTGAGTTGCTAGGTGCAGGGAGGCCTAGGGGATGGGCAGGGTGAGCAGGGCCTCGGAGCCGGCTGAGCAGGCTCCCCCAGCCCTCCCCCCACCTTGCGCCCAGGCAGTGAGTTCTCCGGGAGTGGAAGGGCTCCTGGGTCCGAGTGTGGGCCGGACTCATACCACCACGATTCCAAGCAGAAAAGCGTGCACAGAGCCAGGTAGGACCCATCCAATCCCGGAGGCCAGGACACAAGAACAAAGACCCCACAGACATTGCAGACTGACTCACTCTGGCGGCAAAGAGGAGATCGGAACTGAACAGCCCAGGGTCTTCTC